CAGGGTCTTGGGCACACACACACACACACACACACACACACACACACAGCATGATTTTCAAGCCACCGGGTCCAGGACTTGAACCATAGTTGGCCATATGGTAGTCCAGCGACGTAACTGCTATGCCATCTGTTGGCCCCAGGATTCTGTTTTTTATAACTTTGTTATTTATATGGTGCTCAGACATCAGGCACCTCGTTAGCTATAAGAGAGACATATAAAATAAGAATTAGTCATTACTCTCAAGATATCTTTCATCTAATTAGAGAGATAGCTGACAATATGTAATAGTGAATGCCAGACATCATATAATTAAATACCAGCTGTCTGGTACTTACTGTAAGTACATTACGAGCTCAGAAAAAAGGGCATGGCGTGGGTATTTGGAGGTGGCTTTGTGGAGGCTAAGGGTCCTGGAGGACAGATGGGACTGGGTTAGGCAAAGATAGAGGAGAAGACATTCCAGGTGAGAACTCAACAGGGGGCACCTTCTTCAACTTTGCACAAAGTACTGTACAGAGCCAGAAGACGGTGTGGAGGTTAGGGCGGCTAGATCCCACCTGGCCGACTGCGCTGCTCGAGTCATGGGTGCAGTAGCTTGAAAAACACACCGGGCATGTGTCCATGCATCCCTCAAATCCCAAGGGGAGAATGGAGGAAAAGAGGTTGCAGCGTGGCCATCCCTCCCGGAGGGGCTTTCTCACTTTCCCTCACTGTCTTTGTCTCTACAGCAAAAACAAAAGCAAAAGTCCACCGTGTAAGGGAACCACAGACCATGTTTACTTGCCCGGGAGACCCTGGGGTGGGGGGCCCACTTTTTCTGTTCCTTGCCTCATCTTGGACTTGCCTGAACTATGGTCCCAGCTCCGGTCCCCCCGACTGCCCTGGGGGAGACTTCTCAGAGCAGGGGCAAGGGAGAGTCGCATTGTTCTCGGTTGAAGCATTTCAGGCAGGAAATGAAGAATCTTGTAGGTGGTTAAAAATACAGTGGAAGCTGATTTATGATTGAATTTTGTTCCGGGACAGCAGATTATAGCCCAGGTTCTGAGGCAAAGGCAGCGGTGTCTTTATGGCCTGCTTGGATCAGTTTTATGTCTTAGTGGTTTTTATGTTTCAGCCAAACCAAGATGCTCAAACTTTTTGCCCACATACTTTACCGAGGAAAACTTGGGTACCACTCCTTGCATCCAACCCCACTTTACCATATAAAGAAAAAGAAAGCAAAAGAAATGTTGAGAAGAATGTTTTTGCTTGCTATTTAGCC